GTGTGTGTGTGTGTGTGTGTGTGTGTGTGTGTGTGTGTGTGTGTGTGGATTTCCATTTTATTTTTCAATATAATTCTGTTTGCTATTGCAGCTGTTTCTAGGAACAGTGGGATTGTGATGTATTTAGATTAGTAAGATTTTCTCTAAGTACTTAGCATGAACTGAACTTGGCTTCCATCAAAATCGGTATTGGAGTAGAGTTAGGCCAAACATTGAGCACTTTTGAAAATCCAACCTTATGTTCACTCCTCTACCTAAAACAGCATGTAAGATCAGTCTTAACCCCTTTCATCAGCCTTTCCTGTAACCATTTTGTGTCTTGACACAGAATAAAAATTACAATACACAGATTAACAGAGATTATTATTTATTTATTTGTATTCCAGAGTTCCCAGTCTGAATAGGGTTCCATTGTGACAGACACTGTACAAATGCATACTAGCAGTAATAAATTAAGCTTTGAAACTCCTAGTACCAGAAAGGTGGAGACTTTGGGGCCCTGAAAACTAATGTTATTTCCTGGTCTGTTGAAAGTAATCAATTATCTACATTTGACCAAATGTATAGACTCGGATGATCTGAAAATGAGCTCAAGAATGGAACTACATTTGCAATTTCAGCTGCTGACACTGTCTGTAATTCTGGAAGCCAGTGTTGCTAGCATGTCATTAATGGCAGACTAAAATTTTGTTCTACTTGGCCAGTTATAATAGAAGATTTTATTATTTGTCAGCTAACATGCTGTCTCCTGCAGTTTAGCTGGCATGACTGACAACTCAAAGTTATTTCATGTCTAGAAAACATGATTCATTTTTCAACAGAAAATCAAATTAGCCTCTCTCCTTTCTTCTGTTTGACCTCTGCTATACTTAGCCAAGCTATTATCATCCTCTGAAAGAGCACATTTGTTGAAAGTATCTTAATGTTACTGTAATGCTCTTATCTTACTGTAGTAAAAGTATTTAATTGTAAAACACATTGTGTCCTTTAAAAGTGCAGTTACTTAGTTCTCTCTGCTCTGGATCAAGTCTCCCACAGAGAAACATTTTCAATGTTTATTAACATTTGTTGAAATGGATAAACAGAATAACTACATTATATATGGGTTTATGCACATTTTCCATTTGTAGCTATTTGTATTCATTCCTGCTTTCTTTCCGTCTTTTTCTTTTAAGGGTTATTTTTACTGCTAAATTGAAAGAGGATTACCTTGCAGAAGTCTGCCTCCTTTATAAAGATGAATAGCCAGAGCTGCTTCAAACTTCTCTGCAGAGATTAGATTTGCTATTTCAGATGGGTTCTCGTAGCCAAAAGCATCCTTAAGACTGCATATGTGACCCACAGCTTCTAGATGATCCCTTCATCACAAAAACAATAGAACAAATGGAAGATGATGAATATTAATATGCTGCAGACTTGCCATTATGTTAAATAGCTTAATAAAAACATATTTTGCTTGAAAATTTTTATCCCCTAGATTCACCTTCCTTATGCAACCTGGGTTGGAAAATACTCTCTCATGAAAGCCCCTTTCTGATATCTCTATGTCCTTCCGATTTTTATTCAATAGGGTGTGTGCTGCCAGCAATAAGATCTGCATCCCCTCACATGGCCCAGTCTTCCAAGGTACTGAGAACCGTCAGCTCCCTTTGAAATCAATGAAAGTTGAAAACATTCAGCACATTGCAGGATCTGGCTCTATGAACCTGATCCAATGTCCTTCAAATCACCGGAAAGACTCCCTTTGATTGCTGTATGTGTTGGATCAGGCCCTCAGTGGACTGAATCAAGGGGGCCTTGTGAAAGAAAATATAAAAGCATCCAGTTAATTAATCCCATTAAAATAACTACCAAACCATCACCACCACCAAAAAAAAAAGTGCAACGTAAAACTTTGTTCAGTCCAAAAGGATTTTAGGCTCAAGCAGAGGACTAAAAATTGTATTCCCCAGCCTCCTGCTAACACACTATTTGACCTTGGACTTCATTTCTCTTTGCTTCAGTTTACTCATCTGTAAAATGGGGTTAGTTCTCTATAATTGAGCCATTTATTTAAGAAATTGTTATTTAACATGTTTTCATGAACATACCCAGTGTTAACACAACTGAGATTTTAAAATATCAAGACAATATTATTTTTTATTGTTGGCTTTCAAGATGATAATGATATACATTTTGCACAACATAATCTAACAATATTCTTCACATTAAAGCCCTGATACAAAGACCGTTAAAGTCAATGGAAAAACTTCCACTGATTACAATGGGTTTTGGATCAGCAATCTACTTACTACCAGTGAGATTTTACATCCCCCTACTGAAACTGAGATCAATTGACAATTGTGCCATTGTCATTAGCCAGTGCAGGAACATGCCTATATTTTGATAGAAACTTGCATATTGTGTCAGCAAAATGTATATAAAATAACGTCAAATAGGAAGTGTTTACATTTCCAGCATCATAAAAAGAACACTACATTTTTGTGGTCATTAGATATTGCTCCAGTTGGTTCATTTCTCATCCACATATTAATTATTCTAGCATTAAAATCCGTGAATTCAATAGCTTCTTGAATATTAGTCTTTTTCCTTTCTCTGTCGCTTCACAGCCTCCCAAAGAATGTAATTATCTGTCCTGGGGAAGTTAGTCATCAGTGCAGAAATTGCTGCTAAAAATGCTATAAAACGTCTTGAGGCCCTGGAAAGACTATTAGCACTATAACAGACAGAGCCTTATTGGCACAACATATGGTACTATATTTCTCCATTATACTGAATAGGAATTCATTTTACTTTGGATTTCACCATTTGAAATAAAACTAATAAATTAGAGTAAGCATTAATAAATAATAAAAATACAGCCAGATTGCAAGGCCTTTATTCACATTGTTGAGCAATTATTCACATGAGCCGTCCCATGTACTTCAATTGGGCTATTTATGCAAGTATCTGTTTACCAATGTATGGGGTTCAAAATTTGGCCCAAATTAAATAATAATGAACCGCAAACCTCACAGCTGTAGAAATGCATTCTCTCAGGCAAGCAATCGGGATGCTCATGCAAACATTTCACAAGTTCTCATGTGCTCATTAACTTGTCTAAAATAATTTTTTTTCCCTTCAGTATTCCAATTAGCATACATCACTATCGTGTACAAGCAATATGTTTGCATGTTACAGTTAATTTGAAAATAACTCCCTAACACCACACTCCAAGGACTTCAGAACCCAAGACACTCAGCTAGAAATTCTGAGCTGACGCAATCTTGTCTAACTACAAGATGTGATCATATTTCCTTTTGTCTTCAGTTACCACAGCTCCAAATCACATCGCTATTTTTTATCATTTCAGAAATCATGGTGCAAACAAATACTCCAAAGTAATTTGGTTCACTCATGAAACTGTTCCTGGGTGTTGTTCGTTCAATCAATGTTACTCTTTATATTTTGATCCCCTCTACATAACAAACTACCATGCTGAGGGACCCAGATGCAACATACTAAAGCCCTGACACTCATAGACTTTAAGGTCAAAAGAGACCATTATGATCATCTAGTCTGAACTCCTGCACAACACAGGCCACAGAATCTCACCCACTCACTCCTGTAACAAACCCCTAACCTATGTCTGAGTTACTGAAGTCCTCAAATCGTGGTTTAAAGACCTCAAGGTGCAGAGAATCCTCCAGCAAGTGACCCGTGCCCCACACTGCAGAGGAAGGCAAAAAACCTCCAAGGCCTCTGCCAATCTGCCCTGGAGGAAAATTCCTTCCTGACCCCAAATATGGCGATCAGCTAAACGCTGAGCATGTGGGCAAGACTCACCAGGCAGACACCCAGGAAAGAATTCTCTGTAGTAACTCAGATCCCACCCCATCTAACATCCCATCACAGGTCATTGGGTATATTTACCGCTAATAATCAAAGATCAATTAATTGCCAAAATTAGGCTATCCTAACACTTTTTTATTTTCTGTGTATATGTGGGACTTTATGGTGTTATCACTGTTGTGTAATGCAATTAAAAAAGCTCGGTCTAATCTACCCTATAAGGTTGCTATGTGCCCAGGTTCATCCCTTTTTCAAGGTAGCTGTCCCTTGAAATCTGTACGGGTGCTCAGTACACACTACCATCTGTCCAATTTTATGGGCTCAGGATCATCCTGGATGTCCTGGGTTTTTTCTGTACCTCAGAGGTGGCAATCCCACCTCCCAGGCAAGATTGAACCATGATTTAATCACGTCAAGAAACTGTGACTGGTTCCCTAATACTTTACTTTTTGTAGTGTAGAAGTAGGATTTATTTGACTTGCCTTTCCCATGAGTGCCGAGTAGTGTATGTGTCGTAAAGAGCAACACTCAAACCAGATGAGGAAGGTGTCGAAAGGAGAGATCTCTGCAGTTCTTGGCCCTGAACCAAGCTGATGGCTACCCAGATGACATATTTCCCTACTCCAGCTCTAGCTGTTACATATGGAGACAGTGGGATCAATGGCAAAACCTGCCAACAGAGCTGACCCTGCCAGACACAAATCAAAGAGGGAACAATGGTGGTCTCAATGGTAAATGGAAGGAGAGACTTCCTTGCAGTGTTCTAAAAGATGGATATTTATGAAGGACTCTCTTACGGAAGCAGAGCCTTGAGTTGCCACTATTGAGGTCCTGGATATGTCTAGAGGCAGGATAAAAAGCTGGACTCACTCTATGACTGGTTGTTCAGGGGCACGTAAAAGATATTATACAATTTAGGAAGTTAAAATGAATACTTTGAAAATTCTTTATAATCCCTAATCCTGAAAACATTTATACACATGCCATTGAGTTCAATGTGACTACTCACTCTCATGCTTCAGGTTAAGCACATGCATAAATATCTATGGGATCAGGATGTTAAATTGGATGTATCTAAAGTATTGGAATTTACAGAGTGCAATTTTCTTCCTCCATGAGAGGCTCATTTTCGCTCAGGGAATGAAGAGTACAACTTCCTGTACACTTGAACACACATCACCACTTCAAGGAGGATGGGGAGAGGATGCTTTGGAGACTATTTTACAAGGTTTTTATTTTGTTCTGTTTTGAAAGCTCAGCTGTCTGTGAAGTCACAGATGGCCCTGAATCAGGCCAAGGCATATATACACTACTGATATATTTTGTTTTCTCTTCTGATAAAAATTGAGTATTTAAATTGTTTTGCCAATTCATAGACAAACACTTTTGGAATAAAAATAAATGTGTTCTCTGCTCTCTGTAAAGCGAACACACGTGACAGTGTGTGACAGCCTTGCAAGAAATACTGAATTTTGAGGTAGTGTTTTCTCTATTGTTTCCTTGTAGATTGTGGGTAAATTTCCAAAGGAACATCTTCATTACTGACATTCTTTACTTCAGGCCAGATTTTGCCATCCTTACTTATGCTGAGTAGCACATTACTCCACGAACGGCCCAACTGAATTCAGTGCTACAACTTGTGGAGTGAAGTGCTTCTAAACTGGAGTTTGGGCCTCAGAATCTGGCAGTTTTTTGGAGAGAGTCAAATCAGAGGAATTGTGAATTGTCCACTACTCAGGCTGAAACACATTATTTGTTATGGTCCAGTTGGATAATAACTTGGAGGCACAGCTTCAGCTGCACCACTTACAGACTCCAGAATTAAATAACCCAGTATTTAGAGAAACACTGTGAACTCTGGATTCATTTTATTGGATTTTGTTCTCTGTCTGTGGGCTTCAGTTACTTTCATTTTTTATCATCTAGTATTTTTGGTAATAAAATTTGGATGCTGGTTATTGAACATAGTGCTGGGCGTCCGGCCACTGATTTACTGTTTGGCTCTAAGTAAATCCCTTCACTCTTGTATGGACCCAATTCTTCTCCTTATAATTCTAAGGTGAACTTCAGGTACTCAGCACATCTCAAAATCAAGCTGTACATCTCAGCTTCTTAATCTCTGGGATAGGGAGAATATGCACCCACCACACTCTCATAAGTGTTGTGAAAAGGCAAAGCAAGAGAAGTCTTTAATGCTGTGGCATACTGTAGTATAGATCTATACTGTTTGTTAGTAATACTGCTGCTAATATAAAATTAAAAGGTGCAGTTCCTTTCTGATTTTGTATGCCCTATTCACACTTTTATGAAGGACTTCCATAGGAATACAATTTTTGTCTAACGTGGCTACAAAAACCCAGGTGATGTTTTATGATCTGTTTCATACATTCTTTCCTACTCTTCTTGATTACTCCAGGGGGAATTTTGTACCACTGCACATGCACAGAATTTATGCCCCCTGCAGATTTTTTTTGCTTCCCCGCAGAAAAATGACTTTCTGATGGGGAAGCCATGGGAAGCCACAAGAGCGGTTACGTGGCAGGCCGGTCCTTGCTTTGTGTCAGGTTTGGGTGCAGCCTCACTGTTGAGTCCCTGTCTGGGGGGAGGGGAGAGATGCACAGTGATCTCCCACCTCTGTGCAGCCAGTGGCCTGTGCTCCCCAATGCTGTGCTGGAGTCTCCAAATTTTATTTGACAAATAACATTTGCAGAATTTTTATTTTTTTAGCGCAGAACGCCCTCAGGAGTATATTGATTGCTGCTTCTGGTTTGTCCCGGCTAGCAATCTGAAAAATGCGACACCGACACCCCCACCTGATTCCAGAGTTCATGGTTCTTCATGCACTGCAAGTTTGTTTTGTGGTTCCAAACTGATTGGGATTCCAAGGTTTCCTGTGAGTTAAAATAATCCGTGGTTCTTACATGCTGTAGCTTGCAACACCTGTGTTGTTTTGCACTATAACCACTCTTCTTCTTCGCTCCCCACCTCCAAAAAAAACCCACTTTCTTTTATATTCTCATTTTGAATGGGGTTGTGCTGTACAATAAGTTATGGGGATAGAGTGACTGCTGTCCAGGAACTTCTTTTTCGGTGTTTGTACAGTGCCTAACACAACCGGCTCCTGGTCTAGGATTAGGACTACCTAAGTGTTACAGTAATACAATTCAATAATAATGCCCCTTTTGAATACATTTCATACTACTACATTGATTCTCTTCCACAAACCCTCTGTCAGCAGCTGATTTCCAAAGCTATATTAGCTGTTGCTGAGTGTAGAGGGCCTAAGGGCTGGTCCACACTAACCCCCCACTTCGAACTAAGATACGCAACTTCAGCTACGTTATTCACGTATCTGAAGTCGAACTATCTTAGTTTGAACCTACCGCGGGTCCACACGCGGCAGGCAGGCTCCCCCGTTGACTCCGCGTACTCCTCTCGCGGAGCAGGAGTACCGGCATCGACGGCGAGCACTTCCGGGATCGATCCGGGATCAATTTATCGCGTCTAGACAAGACGCGATAAATCGATCCCAGAAGATCGATTGCTTACCGCCGGACCCGGAGGTAAGTATAGACGTACCCTAAGCTTAAACCCACTGAAGTCAATGAAATAATTTCTACTTCAGCTGGTGTTTGGATCAGGTCTGTAGTGCCTGAGCCCCAGAGGTAGTGACCAACCACAATTCCCAGTAAAGTCTACGGAAGCTGTAAGTATTTAAATTACAACTTTGAGATGTTTTCACTGTGAAACCAAATCTGTCCTCATATAACCTTTTTCGGTTTGAAATTGCCTTTATCAGTGAACTTTGTTCCTCTCCCTTACAAAAAGAATGAGACCCCTTTATTTGCACACTATACACTATTCTTGTGACTGTAACAAACTTTAAAGATGGCCAGCAGTCTACAGTTACTCCTGTACACCCTCAACCATTCACTTAATTTATTCCTACTTATTTAATCAACATCAATTTTTCTTTAATTTCTCCCTGCCTTGGACATCTCTTTCCAAACAGCATGGGTGGAAGGAATTAACATAGATGATTTGTGTCAGCTTGAAATGAGTACACCCCAACAGATATAGGACTAGCTTTGGATCACATCCATTGTGGAATTGAACTATCAAAACAGCAATTGTGAGGGGCAATTACTCTGCTTCTTGGGCCCGAAGTCAGTAATTTTCTCTCTAGAAGTAGAACTGAACCCAATGAAGTTTCACTCTGCTTGTCAACAGGTTCAGCTGTGTAAATCCTGTTGGAATGCAGCACTCATCACCTGCTGGGACTGTAAATGTTGGAATGCAAGGCCTCAGGAGTGGAGGATGAATGAGGAATACCTGCCTTCTGCAGGTTTCAAAAGGGTAGCCATGTTAGTCTGTATCAGCAAAAACAATGAGGAGTCCTTGTGGCACCTTAGAGACTAACAAATTTATTTGGGCATAAGCTTTTGTGGGCTATAACCCACTTCACCTATGGGGAGCAAACACAGATATGAACACAGTTTGCCAATGCAACTGCAGGGAGATAAGAGATCTCTACGCTGCTATCTAATATAAAGAGAAGGGGATTTTTTGGCATGCACACCCTCTTCTGTAGTAGTAGTACCACCAGGTAGGAAGTGCAAGGAAAAAATAGAGGAAAAAAAACCCCAATGCTCAATGCTAAATTGATTAACATCTAATCTGCATTGTAGCATGCATGCACAGACACCCAATATTCTAATCTATCTCCAGGGCAGCTAACATTTCTACAGGCTTTATATGTATTAACATATGGTGCCCTTGAACTGGGGATCACTTGATTACTCAGGTTATTTGTAAATGTATATGCTAAATTTCAACAAACAATTATTAGCCTTTACATTATTTTTGTGGGTTTTATGCTCTTGTGAATGTGATTGTTTTCCTGGGGATTTACACAATTTCAAATAGGAAACTGTAACAATGTCTCCCTCTCAAAAATATCTACATAGTCACAAAAACTTCATTTAAGTCTTCATAAATCAACCCCTCAAAAGTTTCAATGTCTGTTCCCCCTTGCACAACAGGTAATAAAAGGTGAGTAGAAAATTCCAAGGAGGGTAGACTAACTAATTTCTTTTCCTTCCTAACACCCCCCTTTTTGATCCCTCTTCCAGGGTTTAAACTAAAGAATGACAGTCTGAGCAGAGACAGCCATGAATAGGTTGTCATGCAGATTAAGGATGAAATGTTAAGGAGGCCAAACATAATTGATGTCTTTATCACCTTTATTATGGAGCTGTTTTTATTTAAAAAAGAGCCAGATCTTCAGTTGCTTGAAATCAGCTATGCCAATTTACACCAGCTAACAATCTGTCCCAAAGGTTTACAGACAAATTAGACTCTGGTATCTTTGTCACTAGGAAATTTAAGAGTTTAAATTCAAAAGATGAAAATATTGTGTGAAGAGATAAAGCAGTTATATAAACAAACTAGTATCACAAACTTAGCATACTCAGTAATCTCAAACCATAAAATTAATCTATATTAGCAGCTGTCCCATTTAGGAACAACTTAAGCGTTTTAATTTTTTAAACAATCCAATGCTTGCTGCAGGTCAACATATAAAAAGGTTTGAGTAAATAAACCAGTATGCACACACACGGATGTGATTAAAGCAAGCTGTACATTTCCTTGAGCATATAAAATCTTCTACATATTTAAGCACAGTGCTGCAAAGACTTATGTGCTTAACTTTATGAACTGGGATTCTCACAATGTCTAAAGTTAAAGCGTATGAGGCTCTGGGCCTTTTATATAAAAAGGCTGTTTAAATAATAGCTACAATAATTAAAGTAACTTACCTGGCAGTGCCAATGTAAGATTGTTTAAGCTGAACAACTGACAGCTAACGCTACTAAACAGGAAAATAGATTTCTAGCTAATATTGCTTACACATTATTCAGATCAGATTTGTTTTTGTGGGGTCCTTTACACCACTGCTATGAATAGTGTTTATAATAACTGAGATGAGACATTCTGATTCTGTTGGGCATTGATTCTCCAACTTCCTGAGCACTGGAACCTTCAGTGTAGGTTAAACACCTCTATCAGACGTATAAGCTGTAACTGAAATGAGCTCCCCTTCAATCTCTCCTTTCTGAGGTCTTGTCTAGCTAAGAAAGTTGCACCAGTCTAACTTAATGTGTTAATTTAAATCAATACACCTCTACCCCTATATAACGCTGTTCTCGGGAGCCAAAAAAATCTTACCGCGTTATAGGTGAAACCGCGTTATATTGAACTTGCTTTGATCCGCCAGAGCGCTGCTTTACCACCTTATATCCGAATTCATGTTATATCGGGTCACGTTATATTGGTGTAGAGGTGTATTTTTAAACTGGTGCAAATCCCTGTGTGGACACTTTTATTTCAGTTTAGCCAACCTTGATTAGGAACAGGTTTAAGCCATTCTTTAACAGAAAAAAAGTGTCCGCACAGACTTTTGAATCAGTTTAAAAGATGATTCAAGTTATACCAGTGCAGCTATTGCAGATAAACAAGCCCTGAGCTGTTACAGGGGCTGAAGATTTACAAGATTTTTCCAAGGCTGGAGCTAATATTTGGAAGGCTAGCTAAAATCAGAGTAATTTATAAGGCCGAAAAATAATCCTACATAGGAAAGATGAGGGTAGAATATTCTGGGAATTGTTTTTGTTGTTTTATCTGCTCCCAATTATCTATCATTTTGATATAACTGAATGCTTTCCATTAGTAAAAAAGCAAACACTGAAAGGGATAGGTTTCAGAGTAGCAGCCGTGTTAGTCTGTATCCGCAAAAAGAACAGGAGTACTTGTGGCACCTTAGAGACTAACAAATTTATTTGAGCATAAGCGTTCGTGGGCTACAGCCCACTTCATCGGATGCATAGAATGGAACACACAGAAAGAAGATATTTATACAAACAGAGAACGTGAAAAGGTGGGAGTAGCCGTACCAACTGTAAGAGGTTAATCAATTGAGATGAGCTATCATCAGCAGGAGAGAGAAAAAAACCTTTGAAGTGATAATCGAGATGACCCATAGAAGGTGTGAGGGTATTTTAACATATTTTAACATGAGGAAATAGATTCAATTAGTGTAATGATAACCAACTATTCCCAGTCTCTGTAAATAAATGGACACAAATCTGACATCAGGAATCATAACATTCAAAAACCAGTGGGAGAACACTTCAATCTCTCTAACCACTCAGTGACAGACCTGAAGGTGGCAATTTTGCAACAACAAAAAAACTTCAAAAACAGACTCCAAAGAGAGACTGCTGAACTTGAATGCATATGCAAATTAGATACAATTAACTTAGGTTTGAACAGAGGCTGGGAATGGTTGGGTCGTTACTGGGAATTTCTCAGGGCCTGAAAGAAGCCCTGATAGGAAAATACATTATGTTGCACCCACTCTTCACCTGGCTGTCCCTATGGAAGTGGACTGGGGGGGGGGGGGGAGTATTACACACAAAGGAATTCACCCACTTCTTTTGGAATGGGAGAGAGATAGGCAGCATGCCCTCTTGCCCATGTGGATAAAAGGGAGGCCAGTCCAGGCACAAGGGAGATGACAGCTCTTCCTTGTCCCTGTGGCTGAAGAAACAGGCATAGGG